CATAAGTTCATTGTCGATAAACCGTTTAATCCTATGTAAAAAAAAAAAAAATGATATTATGTACTTTATAAACAAATAAACTCATCTATCTATCTATCTATCTATCAATATTCACAAAATTTATTCACTCCGAAAAAATATGAGCCAAGTCTTTCTCCCACTCGTGGAAGGAAAGGCATGAAGGATTGGTATGAAGGATTGGTATGAAGGATTGGTATGAAGGATTGGGTATGAGGGACGATAAACGCAGAATTTTTAAATTATTATATTTACTATTAAGAATATATATCACCAAAAATGACTCAGTTTTTTATTTTACTAAATTAATTGTTCGAATTAATTATGAAGCTTGATGAGCAATATTTAAAAAAAAAAATCGTTTGAATTAGGTCGCGAGTAACATGGACAAAATATCCGAAGTGTACGAAGCTCGGAATAAGCAATTAAATTAAAACGTTGGAACAAATTAATTTTTCCACCATATTCCCTCCCCACCCCCTCCCATCAAGCTATGTGGCGCTTTGAAAAACAGAGCAGTAAAAAATAAAAAAAATAAAACAGAATACAAAAAATAAAGAAAATAAATAAAACAAAATATTGGATGGGAAAGGGAGTTTTTACGTAATATAGAGAGACCGTGTTTCATAACCCAATAGGGAATAAAAGTGTTCCCAACGAGAGGAGCGGAATCGTTTTTAATCCAATAAAATATTTAAATTTAATCTCATAGATTGCATGTATTTTTACAGTTTTCAATTTCCGAAGGGAATGCCGCTTTTTGTTTTTCTTTTTTTTTTGTTTATTCCCCAGTGATTTCGTTTATTTTCTTTTATGTTTTAATTTTAAATATGTAAGAGAAATATCGATATGTGTATCGGGCTGATGGGATGAAATGCCTGTAACTGGCTATCCCCCGAATCAGAGAGCTTTTTAAATTAAAAGCTTGATCAAAATCAAATTCAAACGAATAAATCACTACTCGACATATCTGTCCAAACAGGAAAAAAAAAAAGGAAAAGAAAATAGAAAATGTATATATATTGTTAAAATATGTACCTAAACTAAGCCATAAGTATATTAACTTGTTGTATTATTAAAGGATAGCTTTAGTAGCATATTCTGAAGAATAAATGAAAGCGGATGAAAAAAAAAAAAAGTTTTCGCCGTTCTAACTGCTTTTTTTCGAAGATTGCATTTTATCTTTGACAGCAGTTTCAAAGTCTTATCATAATTAATATAGTTGGTCGAACTGTTTGAATCGCAGAATCATCTTCCTTTGAATGATTCAGTAGATCGTTATGTGTAGATTTTCTTATTTTATTTTTTTATTTTTTTATTTATGATATTTACAACTGTATTAATAAATAAAATCCATTTAGTAAATTTCATAACAGAAAATAATAACATGAAAGCACTTGTTGAGAAACTACCCGCTGGTAGCAGTCTAAAAAAGGCCATCTTGTTTTCAGAACCCTCGAAGGGTTATCAGGAGGATAGAAGACGAGGTTAGAGATGAGAGGATTCGGATGGTTCAGAAGTTTATTATGGAAGGACAGGTATCTGGATTGTGCCAAATCGGAAACATGAGGAATATTAAGGTCGTTATGGATTATTTTATTAGTGACAAAGTAAGGTGAATTGAGCATTTTCCGAAGGATTTTGGATTGTAAGGATTGGATACGAGAGGAATTCGATGGTTTAGTGGAGTCCCAAAGCTCAACTCTGTAAATCCAAATAGGTCTTATTGTATTCATGTATATGAGTCTTTTGTAATCAACTGGAAGCTTAGAGCGTTCATCTAGTAAGTGTTGGAGTAGTCGGAAACGTCGAGCGGTTTCTTGTCGTTTCAGTCTGGTATGAGGATTCCAAGTTAGACGTTTGTCCAAGTGGAGTCTAAGGTATCGGATTTGTTCAACAGGGATAAGTGGAGTATTATCAAAGGATACTGTAGGATTATATATATATATATATATATATATATATAATTTAATAATTTATCAGGACACTCACAATAAAATAAATTATATTGATGGTTTAATCGTGGCATCAGGATAATCATCAAAACTCGACATTATACCTAACCATTTTATTATAAAATCGTGCCCGATTAGAGATTTCTAACGTCTATGTCTGAGCTATTTATTAAGAGTTGATATAATTCGAATAAATATTCTAAGTATTAGAAACATGTATTTTTTAAGAAATTTAAAACCATATAATTTTTCATATTTTTCATACTTATTACGAAATATTTTTCCATTCTTTTTCGTGACAATGATTCGAAATAAATCATTTTGCCGAAATGAATTAAATTTAGGTGTAGGTCTAGTGGCAGCTTCAAAAGTGGTGTTACAGTGATAGAGAAGGGAACTCATGTTTCTGATGAGTGGATATTTAAATAATTCAGAGATGAATATATAGTTGGGTGTTAATTTTAAATTATTATAAGGATAAAAAATAATCGGAGTTTGCACTATTTGTATGGACTGTTTGGTTGTTTTGATGTTAGATCCAAAACATCCAGGACTTCAGCACGGAATCAACAAATTAATATTAATTTTAAAAATTTTTGGTGGTAGGATAAAAAACAAGTAAATAAAGAAAAAATAATATTCTACAGGTAAGATGACGATTAGTCTATGTAATTTTTCTTTCTTTATTATTAATTTTTTGGTTTGCCGAGGTTTTTGACATTCATCTGACTTTGTATATACCCGGAGTCCTGATGATCATATAATAACTGCGTATTATAATTGTAATTGTAATAATTTGACATTCCCGTATTTAAAGATTTTTTTTTTCTTTATACTAAATATAAAACAGGATTAAAAATCATAAAAATTATATTTTAAAAATTTATTCCTGTCATATTTATAGATACATTATTTATTTATTTGATACAGAAGGCGGTATCTCTTCACGGCTAATTGACCCACAATCGGTTTTGGAGAGCTACCTCAGCACAATAACATTTTTTTGTAGGTCCATTCAACAGCCTAGGGCCTATGATCTCTTTTAACAGCTTATTAAACTCATCCCCTATCTAAATCGGATCGAGGCGAGTAAAAAAAAAGTTTTTTTCCTCTAGCAGAGGCGAACTCCCCCGCTCGTGTTGTGGCAGGAAGGACTCTCGCCCAGACCGCACAATGGACAGCCTGGAAAAGAATTAACAGGTCCAAGCTGAAAAAATAGCCCGCTCCAACGCCCCGGGGGCAGAAAAAGTTTTATCGGACAATCGGAAGAGTTATACCCGAGGCGAGAACCGGTCCTGGGCAAGGGTCAGCGAGGGTCATTGTGTTGGACTCAGCTGCCGTCTTGGACCCTCCGAGGGTGCCGTGTCTTCATTGTGACCAGGATGTGCCGGGGTATTGTAGCCATTGTACGTTAGCACCTATAGCTGCGGGCCATCCCGATCCGGCAACATCTCCGTCCTCATAAATGGTAAGTTAAAAAAATATAAACCAAAACAAAATATCTTTGGGTCATTTAACTAAATTAGGGTATTTTATCAATCATTAAAATTTGCAATCTTAGATGACATATAACTAGGGTTTCCCAAATGAGAGACAGAGAGGAGTCTTGGTCTTGCAAACTCAGTCTTGTTCATAGTCTTGGTCTTGCGCAAGTCTCACAACAATCTTGCAGTTACTTATTAGCTTATTACTATAGAGATATTACTGTAATTTTTTACATAGGAGAAGCCTAACTAAGCCTGAATGAAAAATTAGAAGAGTTAAATGCAAAAGTATATTGGTTACACCAATATATTAACTAAGATTTTCAAGCATTAGTAACTATTTTGCCTTAGTTTTTATTTTTAAAAATCGATTTTTTTGAACCAGTCGTGGTCTTGGTCTTACAACAGTTAGGTAGTCTTGGTCTTGGTCTTGCAAAGTGCAAGACCAAGACCGATTTTTGGCAACACTACACATAACTTTTTTTTCTGTTGGCTTTACATCTCTGCCATTATTAGACTATTTTTTTACAACAGCACTACATCTTTGTTTCGATCTATTCATTTGGTTTCTGGCCTTCCATAATAATCCACCGTACAAATTATTACACTCCTTTTCATCAAATTATTATCGTAGGTACTTCTTCGTGAACGACTTCATCTTATCGTAATCTACGACTTATTTATTTAAGTAAATCCTTATAAATAGGACTTTTTCTCATTTAATTAATTAATTTGTTTAGTTAATTACAATTTAATGAATACTCATTTGCTTGCCACTTTATGGTAAGGTTTTTTGATCAAAATATCGAGAGAAAAGATGGACTTCAAAAATATTGAGCCGTTTGGACTATTGGGGTTGTTATCGGGTATATGTTGTGGGTGGAGGTCATGCGAAATGGCCCAATATTTTTGTAGGCCACCTTTTTTCCTCAATTTTATGATCAAATTATCTTACGATTCAAGTGGAAATCAAAAGAGATTGCTGTGAGTTTTTAGTACCTATTTAAGTTGAGAAAGATTGAAAATACTCCAATTTCATGAATTTTTGTAAATAAATAAAGTTGTAGGTTATGATAAGGTGAAGCTATCCATGAATTTTTAGGCGGGTGTTAATTCTTTGATAAAAAAGAGGTCCACCACAGACTATTACTGGTAGGTGCCAATTGATCTCAATTAACTGAGTAATACTTATACTTATAAATTTTCTGCAAATGACGAGATCTTATTTTCTCGATTTATTTCCTTATTATTAAATAACTGACTCATAAGCAGCAACGGTAATCAGTATTCCTTTTATTGCATGTAAAAAGTCTGATAGGGGAAAGAGAAAAAATATTTCAGGTCCATACAATTGTCCCAAGGGTGACGTTCGTCGAGACCGTAAAGATGATCATCTACATTAACAGTTACCCCAAAAGTTATAAAATTAATCAAATGGAAACAAACTGCGCTATAAAACCATAAAAACAAACAGGTCGTAAAAGGGACTCGTAAACCTCCATCTCCCTCGGACACATACGTGTCCCCTGGACAAACTCGCGAGATGGAAGACCGGACCAGATGCCTGGAGGAAGATAAGAGCGATCCATCAGGATCCATCCCTCCTAGGACCGCGAGTTTACAAGTCTTATCAGGTCGTTAGCTACTTCCCCGAGCTACCTGCGATATGTCTGCTGACAGCCTCATTACCCTTCGGTGGCCTATTGGTCCAATAATGGATGGCCGATCCGGACACAGATAGGACCCCGCGTCCGGAAAACCACGCCATAAGCAGCCTGTTAACTAACTAACACTGGGGTCAATTAACCGACCCGCGGTGGTAGCGCAACGTCCGAATTAGCAGTCTGCTCGCCAAATATGAAAAGGTTTCAGCTTTGTATCTAGAAATCGAAAAAAAAAAAATCATTTAATGGTTGAGTTTTTAAAAATCTCTAAATCTATAACTATACAAAATCAAAGAGAATAAATTACGATATGAGCCTCTCAGTTGCCAGAATGACTAACTCCAATTTGAACATTTTTTATTATTAATTTTAATGATATTTCTAGTGAGAAAATGTATATCTTTATTCAGAGTTCTTTATTTCAATGATGAAATTACCTACTCTGGAATTAACTTACTGTCTGTACATAAAATAAATAAATTTTCCAACTAGAAATATCACAAAAATGGTTTTAATCAAAATATTGAAATTTGAGTTCGTCACTCTGTCAACTGAAAGGCTCATGTAATAAAACCTAATTTAACAAAATAAACACTCTCTATAAAAACTTCAAACCTTCCAATCAAACCTAATGCTTCTCATAACAAAAACACCGTGGTACGTGATTAAAAAAAACTCTACATACTGACCTCCATCTTCCAACAGTTGTCCAACATAGAACGATCCTTTATCAACGATTTTACACTAATTTAAACGGACATAATAACAGATTAATAAGAGACATGGCCACAGCTGACATACAACAGAACATGAGGAGGAGACTAAAAAGGTGTTGGATGAGAGGTCTCTTTCCTTAAACAACCAAAGTAATTGGAACAAGTCAGGGAAAAGGTGCTGCTGAGTAATTTCCTTCCTCATTCCTGTTATGTAATTATTTCCTGTATCCCCAGCACATTTGCTGATTGCCAACAATAAGTTGACAGGCGCAAATACATTTTTTATAGACAGAAAAAACCACTCTCCATTACGAGTGTTTTCTTTATAATTTTCATTTCGTCGTTTCGAGGATACTTTCAGGATCTAGAATTATATAAATTTCTATCTATCTAGGTCATTAAGTAAATTCTTGTTTTTCTGCTCTTTTCTTTAATTTATTTATTTTTTTGAAGATTCAACCTCACCTTTTTTTAAATTAAAAAATAAATGGAGAATCTGAAGGTCTTAAATTTAAATATATATTCACATTGCACATTTTTCTAAGGCAGGTCTTCTTCACGTGAAATAAACTGGAATACATGATGAAGGATTGTATTTCAGGAAAAACATTACCCTAAAATTTGGTTACAGTTCGTCAAAATATTTTATTTGTGAAAATTCTCGGAAAGAAGACGTTTCCAATCTGGACATCGGCAGTCTTTGTCTATTTAATTAGGTATTAAAACTCATAGATATCCACTGGTTTCCACGGTGTAATGGTTTCCACTGGAATCATCAGATAATATGATCACAAAATAGAAAAAAAATAGCGAACTTCAAAGATATTGAGCCGTTTGAATTATGGGGGAGGTTATAGGGTGTATGTTGGGGATGGAGGTCACGCCAAACGCACCAATATTTTTGTAGACAACTTTTTTTTTTTTCGATATTGTAATCATATTATTTGACGATTCAAGTGGAAAGCAATTGGGTATTCATGAATTATCAGTATCTAATTAAATAGACAATTGCCAATCTCCAGATCGAAACCCCAACTCCGGGAATTTTCGTAAATAAAGTATTTGTAGGTAACAAAGAGATGAAGCGATTCACGAGTTTTTAGGTGGATTTTAATAATTGGATAAAAAAAACTACGATTTTTCAGTGATTTTACGAATTTTATATGGTTTCGCTTATCCCTCCCTACAACCCCTGAATATTGATATTTTGTGAGTGATTTTTTTTTCTCTAACATTCTCACCGTTTTGAGAAATTAAATTCGAAAAAAAATATTAGAAAATGGAAAACAGAAAAAGGAAATTCTGCGGTTTACTTGATTTTAAAATTCAATTTTTTTTCAATAAATCATAAATGCAACTATTAAATCACCTGCCATTTGTTTTCCTGAAAAATGAGAAGAAAACATGAGCTTAATAATGGAACTCTTCAACCTAAGCTTTTTTCACTATTTTTACATCTTTTCGTTGAGTCACGAACGATATATTTTTTTATTTTATTCTAGACTATTGCCTAGTGGATCCGCAGACCAGCTGACCACAATGAGATGGGAAATAAGATTAACTCCAGAGAATAATTGAGGATAGGCTAGCCTACAATTAGTGTGGAATAGATAACGGACTAGGCTCGTGGTATTTACAATCCACTTCCTCAGCGATAGGCCATCTAAAGCCGAACAGCCTAACTCCTCCATCCAACGCCCATTTACCAAGGGGGTAGCAGTCAGGCAGAGAATTTTTTATTTTATTAGTATATTTATTTATTTTTTTTAAACAACAAAAAATATCAGAAAAATGCGAAAAATATCGTATACTTAATTTGTAGAGAATACTGTAAAATTTTGAATTTGATACCAGGCAAGACTATCAGTCAGAATTTCAAAGGAATATATTCATTTATTCATTTTCTCCTTCTAAATTACATACATTATTTATTGATTTATTACAAATTAAGAAATCGTACTAAAAAGGACACTCATTTAATTTAATCATCGTGTGATGTTATTATGAACTTATACAGTAAATTATCTATTATTAATAATTGAATTCAATAAAAAAATAGAATTTTCCCGAGTCCAATATAAATATTTAAAAAAAAAAAAATAGTTGTTTGGTGATAAACATTATGAAATTGGCCTAATTCCTCCACCCAACGCCCATTTACCAAGTGGGTAGTAGTCAGGCAGAGAATTTTTAATTTTATTACTATACTTATTTATTTAAACAACAAAAAAAAAATATCAGAAAAAACGAAAAATATCGTATACTTGATTTGTAGAAATCCTGAATACTGTAAAATCATAAATTTGATACCAGGCAAGAGTACCACTCAGAATTTCAAAGGATTTTTTTTTTCATTTTCTTCTTATAAATTACATTCATTATTTATTAACTTGTTACAAATTAGTAATTCGTACTAAAAATAACACTAATTTAAATTTAATCATGGTATGATGATATAATTTTTTTTTCCCCTTATGTGGTAACGGATCGTTTATTTGATTAAACTACAAGCTCCATGCCTTAAAGACATACTACATGAATTACAATTGTTTACATAATTTTCTTTTCTAGTTTTACATGATATAAATCTTTAGTTCAAAATTATATATATTAACAAACAAAAACATAAAGAATAAACACATAAAAATAATAATAAAACGGAACCATGTATATCAAACATAGAAAGTCAATTCATGATATTATAAGTTATTCAGTAAACTATCTGTTATTAATATTTGAATTCACAAAAAAATAAAATTTTCCCGATTCGAATCTAAATATAACAAAAATTAGTTATTTGGTGATAAACATTATGAAATAGGTTAATATCAAATATAGACAACATAAATTATTATAATATTTCTCTGCTATAATTCGTATTTAACATTTATTAATATTTTCAATTGGTATTAATTATATTATTTGGTTGACTAAATTTATTCAGGCACTCAATTATTCATTTTATAGTATTGATGATTATTTATTTATTATTTTTTTTATCTATTAATTATTCTTATTTTACTCCTCATAAGCCTTCATTATTTTTCAATGTAACATACGGATATGGGGGCGATATAATTCATAAATTCAATTTGAATACGTAATCACGTCATATTAATGATACCCGCATTTTACTATATTATTTATATCTCTAATTAAAATATTAATTAAATAAACTTCAATATATTTAATATGATAAAATATATTTCTGGTGAAAAATTTTAGATTTCGTATATAATTAAATAAAATAGTAGTTTTATATTCTATTTATTTTGTAGACAAGAAGTAACGGATTTCGTTGCCATGTAAAAAACAGCATTTTGTAAATTTTAAGCAAAAATATTAAGTTACAGTTAGTCCCAAATTATTTATTATCATAAATTATCTCCTTAATAAAGCAATAATAATTAATAAATTCTTCGCTTAGTAATTATCAAGTAAAATTAAGTAAACTTATTAAGTAAAATATATAAAATAGTAATAATTAAATAAATAATAAACTTCAAATTATTGCATTCTAGGAATATGATAATAAAAAATATAATAAATAATATGACAAAATCTTATAGAGAATAAGATGATATAGGATGAGGATACTGGTAAGATTGGGGAAAAAAAATTAATTATTGTTGTTTAAAGTCATATGAATAAATGCTGTATTGATTCTATAAAACTGTTACTAGCGATAATATTATAAATTCTAGTCTGAAGATGGGATATAAAAGTGGATCCCGAAACGTCATGATGTAGTGGAGTGGAAATGTTTTCAGGAGAATAAATACTGTAATAAAAATTCTTACTTATATACCTCAAATATTAAATTAGCGGTATTGAGATTCCAACAGTTCCCATAGAAGCTATAAATACAAAATAATAACTTTATTTCTTCAAGAAAAGTAACAACATCATTTAATTTCAATATATATAACTTTTTTTTTATTCCAAATTGTAAGTATCTTATATATTATAGCGTTTAAGATTACACTTTTATTTGATATTCTAAACTATATTTCTCTTAAATCAATTAAGTAAACCAAATTTATAAAAATATAAGTAAATAATAATTGAATATTATTTTCTGTATGAAGTGAGAATTATACAGAGTAAATTTATTATGTCCATCATTATCTATCTAGAATACAGAATATCATAGAATAGAAAATAATTTTATTCTGGGACAAAATCCCTTTAGAATAACAAAACGGTGCTGAGACTGTCGGTGTGTCCCTGGCCTGAGATATCGAAGCTCGAATTTTA